ACGACCGCCTCGATGCGTGCGACTTGCAAGCGTACTCACCGGGCTGGGCGGATCGGACTTTCCCCTCAGATTGTGCGCGATGGAGAGCGCGTGTGTCACACGTTCTAGGGCGCGTGAAGCTTTTTCTGCGCATATGTCAGGAGAAAGTCTCTTTTCCGCTGGCCATCGATTCTAGCGTGAGTCTGCGCAAGTCAACCACGACCGGGCCACGGCCTTGAGAGAGGAACACGGGCCGCCAAGAGATGCGGGCGTTGAAGAGAGATCTGAACTAGGTCATTGCGCCTTTACGCATTGTGAGCCGGGCCATCCGCGCGCCCTCCAAGTTCAACATGGAATTCTTGCGCCGTCGTCGCCAAAAACGCATTTCTTTTTCTCGCCTCCCGGCCATCCGCCATGGGGGTGGGTATGGAGGATCCATTTTCTCGACAGTCCGGACCAAGCCCCCAGCCCCGGCACTCGCGACTGATCGTCCCGCCCGCTTCGCGTTTCGTCGCAAGTTTCTCGGCGGATCGTGCAACACCTAGGAGCCTCTCGTCACCAGCTGGAAGCCAGGGTCGTGATCCGCAACAGGGCTCTGCACGGCACTCAGCTTTGGGGTTGTTTCGAAACGACGACGCCTGTCGAACGAGGCAGTCGGACGCCCCCAACAGAGGGTATCGTATTCCACCTCTCTGCTTGTCGCGGCGCAACACGGGCGTCGACTCGAGTCGCGTCGCGTCGATATATGTCGCCAGCGCACGGGGTGGTCAGGGCGTCGCCCGAGAGGTGCGACTTCCAAGAGCCGCCTGCAACACGACGGCGCCGACCAGTGTGCCTTGCGCGCGCCGTGCGCAGGGCCGGTGAAGATCGCCCGAGGGGCCGAAACCCGGACTTTTGCACTTGCACGCACATACTTATCAGTTGCTAATTATGGGGTGGCAGGCTGCGGTTCAGACATCCGCCAGATCTCCAGATTCAGGTCGCCGCTCCAGTGCCCACGGTGCTGCCCTGCAGCGACCCAGGCATTCGGCCTCCTCCACCTGCAGAAGAGGAGACTTTTCGTCCCAAGTCATCCGGCAGACACTAAAGCAATTTGTGCATCGAGGAGTTCGCATAATAAACGGGGAAGGGGAAATGTGTGTATCCGCTTCGAAAAACTCTCCGCGGCGAGCTGCATATGCACTTGCATCTGCTGACCGGAAGAAAGGTAAGGAACCACAGGCGTTCGCAGCGGCCCAGCGGGCGGGCCTTGGTGGATGACAGGAGATAAAAAAATCGTGTTTCCGGAAAAGGGGGCGACGGGGGCCATCCGGTCCCCGCCTCGGCGCAGCGGCGATGGTGTCTGGAATAGGCTCCTCGCCCGTGGGATGGGTCACGATCCTTGCATCGGGCACGCAGCCCGGACGCGGCGGCAGACAAGAAGAGCGCAGAGCGAGAGAGCGAGCGTGGCACGGAGAGTTCGGACGACAAGACGAAGATCTCGAGCCTGAACGCGGCCGACCTTGGTTCGCTATAGGTAGGGCCTCTTCGCCATGGGCGATGCTGATCTGGCCTGGCCAGGCTGCGCGTGGGGGAGGGGCCCGAGTGACTGCGACGCTGTCGGCAGACGAGGCTGGAGCACATCTGGGGAGCAGCCGCGATATGCGACAGTTGCGAGGGGAACGAAGCACCGTCAGCGATGTTCATCGTCACAGCCGGGCCGTTGACGGGCAACGAAAGGCCGCCGACCCCGTCCGCTCGTCTGTGCGTGCGTCGCCGAGAGGTTGGCCTTGCCGACCGCAATCCGAGGAAAAGAGGACGTCGCGTTGCCTCGACGGCATGGCGGGGGCCGTGCCCCTTTCCTTGAGGGTCTCTTCTGGATGACGGGAGAGTGCTTGCCGCTGTCGTCAAGCTGCCGAGCAGAATTGACAGACTGACCCTTTTCGAGCTGCTGCAGGTCCCGGTCCTCGGCCGAGAGTGTGCCAACGGCGACGGCAGCGGGCATCGCTCTATATTGGGACGGGATGCCTACGGTGACATCAAAGGTGGCCGCCGCTGCGCCGCGCCAGGCGATGGGAAAAAAAGAAAAGAAAAAGTTGACACGGACAGATAAGCTTATCCCAGGCGGGAGACGGCTGTGATGAGCCGCCCCCCTCCCCTCTCGACTCGTCCTCGCCTCTGGAGATGACGCGGGATGGCTGACCAGACTTCTTCCCCTCCCAGTGTTGAAACCAGCTTCGATGTTTCGACGTCGGCTCTAGCGTTCGAGGTCGAGGGACGCCGCCGGTTGGCGCCCGTGTTTCAAGATTGCCCAGCTCTCTGGCGAGACGATCCTTGGGGCCAGAGGATGACAGGGGCAGGCCAGTTTTCGTGCATCTATCGACAGGGCCACCCATGCCCCCATGCCCCCCGTCGACCGGGTCGAGCGTGCAGGGCCGGGGGACCCCGGGGCCGGACAGGCCCTGGACGAAGAGAGGAGACCGGGCTTCGGGGCCTGCCTCCGGGGGTTGTGTTGTGGCCCCTGTAGTGGCCGTTGGCATCTTGGCAGGCACCAATGCACCCGACCCGGCCGTGATTCTCCAGTTCGCAGGGGCGCGGGCAGGGGTCTCGGTGCGCTGCAGGCTTGCAGCAGCGGATGAACCAGCAGCAGTGCTGGTGCAGTAGAGCGTGGGCTTTGCTCTCTCTCGCCTTGCAGGGTCACTCCCACCGCGACGAGCGATGTCACCGTCCGAGGCGGAGGGGCCACGATGCCCTGCGGCGTGACAGTGTGACGGTGCCACGAGAGGGGAACGCATTTTTGCGGCTTTTGTTCGATGCTGCTGCAAATGTTTGCTCTTTTCGCCCCCTTGTTCGTGATATGAGATGAGGTTGGTGATGACCGAGAGGCATCATCCATGGCTTGGCGACACATTGGAAACATTTGGCCGTTTTGTTTGCTGGGCTACCGCCCGACTCTTGGGACGAGAATGCGCCGGGGGAAAGACAAGGGCTTCTTCACTTCAGACGGTAATGCTCCTGACTAACAGGCCACGGGTCTTGTCCCCGCCTGTGACTGACTCCCTGCCCCTAGACAGCCAGCACTGGCCGGGGGTGCTCGTCGTCGTTGGCCTGTGCTGCTTCAATAGTGGCGTCCCCTTCTGGGGCATCGGCCGCGGGTCTGTCGAGGATGAAGCCACGAGAAAGAGGGACGCAATGTCATGAATCAATATCTCGACGCAAACACGACGGACGTATCTCCGCCCCCTCAGGGGAGACTGCATTCACCTGCCGGCCCCTATTTTTTTCGGAGAGGGGGGAAACTCAAGAAGAGGGGTCGGCCGGTGATGAAGGGACCCGTGCAAATATTGGTCTTCGATCGATAGCCCAGAAGCTCGCACCCACGTGCCCCCGGCGAGGTGCTGTCAGATTCAGATTGCCCCTAATCTGAAACATTGACTCGACGGGCAGGGGTGCAAGATGCCAGCGTCATGGACACAGAGAGACCCGACGACGTGCATTTATTCGGTTAGACACGCGCGCGGGCGGGCCAGGACAGCTGCGCTGCTGCTGATCGCCATTCGGAACACACTCCGACGAGGATGAGGCCGTCACGGCGCCGCCGCCTTGCAGCTTTTCTGCAATCATTCCCAGACGGCGGTGCAACGCGCGCCATGCTGGAACCGGTGCGTGATCTCCGCTTTGCACTATAAGGGCTCGGCCGGGACTCCGGACGACAGTGGCGGCCCCGGGGGCGGTTGCGCCACTCGACGGAGGCCCGATGCACGAGCCTGACTCGGCCGCGCGGGAGGCGTCATGTCCGGTAGGTGAGGTGGGAGATCAGCGGACGGCGAGCCTGACGGGCCTGACGGACCTGACTCCTGAGCGGCGCGCCTGACTCTTGAGATAAGGCCATAGGGGTCCCCCCCGTGGGTGGGAGGTGGGTTCGGGGTGCTGGGCCTTGGGGGGCGATGCTACGTGAGTGAGGGTTCGTGTTGTCTCGGCGAGGCCCGCGCGCCGCGATGGCGATGTCACCTTGCTTGTGGACCGTGGAGTTGCCGTGAGGGTATCTTGGTTTGACGTGATATAGGGATGGGGTCGTGACAGTGTTTTTTGCCACCCGTGCGCCGGCAGTGCTGACGTGGAGGGGTGATGGGAGCGATGTCGGGGGAGGGCGGGGATGGTGCTCCGTCGAGATCCTGAAGGAGCGGCGGACGGGGTTTGTCTGTCTCCTATAGAGGAGGAGAAGTTGTTGTAACTGCTGTTAGGCCTGGGGTTTGAAGTGATGGACGAGGGATCAAGGCGGGGTTGAGATGTTGCGGAGTTAGGCATTTCGGCGGTAGCTCGGCGGTTGCCCGAGCTTTCCAAGCCTTCATGACTAGGTGATGAAGTGACATGCGAAGCGGAGGGGCTCTGTCATGAGTCGAATCGATGCAGATACGGAAAGCTGGTTGAGCCGCTGTCCGTCTTGGAGGCCTGCAGCTGAGATATGTTGACTCGCGGCTTGGGGAGCTGGTGGTGGCCGTGTTCTTGATGTCTCTCGTCATCGCAGCTGCTGTTATGAACGGGGGTTGGAAGAAGAGCAGTAGGACTCGAGGGGATGCCAAAGCGCTGTTGTGGTGTTGCGGTTCGGCTCTGATGATGGCAGTTGCTCCTCGGGTGGCATGGACTTGGGGTTTCTGGAGTTGGGAAATAGCTACAGCAGCTTCATTCTTTCTTCAGTTACTTGGATCTGTTCCATTTCTTGGCGCTCTTCTGGGACTGCCTTGACATGAGAACACCACTTTGCCAGCGGATGAAGCTTCATGGATGATGTGACGTGTGGAAGAGTCGCGGGATGCAGGACAAAAAGACAACATAGAATTTTCAATAACTTGTTCAAGTCAAACACAGAAGCTCTACTGAGTACCCCATCTCTTCAATGTCGCGTTCATTTGCTGATATTGACAATTTGTCCCTTGCAGACAGAGATATTTCCGCACTTTACACACCTTCCGTACCTGCCATCATCCTCGTCACCAACCAACCTCCATAGGCCACCGACTTCCAGTCCTTCCCACAGGCCAGCCGATGGCCCAGCGGTTAAGTCGACAGCCTCTGGGCCACTGGCGTAGTAGCCAAGGCGCGGGTTCAATTCCCGCTGCGAGCAAAACCTCCCGCTACGCCTGGGTGGTTTTCTACCCCTCCGGATTCCTGCGTAACAGGATGCCCGGAGGGGGTCTTTTTGGTCTTTTGCGTCATGCTGCTTGCAGTATTTGACAGCAATTTGCTCAACAAACGACACCAGAGAACATGTCTAAGAAGCATCCTAAAACTGCGACATGATCCGACGCTTGTTTCCTACAATCATGTTCAAGAAATAAACATTTCTACGTGAGCAGGTGCCTTGTAAAGGAAGAACCATCCATGACTGACATGGGATCGCAACAAAGTGAACTTCCCAGATGACCATTCAAAAATGTGCCACCAGTCTGATTGGAAGTCAATGGAATCTACAAAGACACCCTCTAACCTCATTGAAACCCTCATGTCGCTCAAGCTGGCTGCACATTGATGCCGTGTACGCTCGTAAGGGTGGTGAGGTCTAGGCACCAGCTCACGTGATCACGCATCTGGATTTCCCCTCCACGCGTCTGGACACCCGCGTCATTCCCCCTCCAACCGTGTCAACACCTTCCCCATACAACAACCCCGCCACCAAAACGCCAATCCAACATCTATCAAGCCACCCCAGAAAACCATGTGTGGCCATGGCTCCGACCGAAACGATGGAAGACCTCGATGGGTTTTCCGATCGTACCGTCTCGACACCCGATCCAGACCTTGATCTCGACATCAAACCGGACCCCGAGATGGCGCCGCTTTCGCCACTCCGGCCGTTTCAGAAACGCAAGTTCGAGCCGATAACGGGCGAAAAGTACGTCTGGGACCTCGACTCGGATGACGGCAAGGATCTCCAGGCCCGCCTCAAGAAGAAGAACAAGAGGCCCAGGAAGAGCACTGGCAAGGGCAAGGGTAAAGGAAAGGAGAAGGATGTCAAGCGCGAGCCGTTGGACCCTCCGCAGCATGACTACGAGGTCGCCTGCGCCCCGGAATATCTCGTCGAGCGCCGGCTCAAGTTTGAGGAAAACCGCAGGGTGCTGGTCGAAGGCGGACTCATGTTGCCGCCGCAGTACCATGACTTTGTGTACGAGCTGCCCCGTTCCCGGCCCATCCTCGAACGTCCCCAGTTCCCCGAGAGCGCCTGCGTCAAGCCCTGCCGCGAGTACAAGGACATTGAGCTACAGTACTCGGCCGGCGTGATCCCGGCGCCCATCGCCCAGTACCTGCGCGACTACCAGGTCGAGGGCGTGCAGTTCCTCCACCGCCTGTTCGTCTACCAGAAGGGCGGCATCTTGGGGGATGACATGGGTTTGGGAAAGACAGTGCAGGTGGCGGCATTCCTGACCGCAGCGTTTGGGAAGACGGGCGACGAGCGCGATGACAAGCGCATGCGTTGGATGCGCATATACGGCTGCCGCTGGTACCCTCGCATCCTCATCGTATGCCCCGGCACCCTCATCGAGAACTGGAGGAACGAGCTGGCGCGCTGGGGCTTCTGGCACGTGCAGGTCTTCCACGGCGCCGACAAGCAGGACATGCTGGCCACGGCCCGCGCTGGCCGCGCTGAGATCCTCATCACCACGTACGGCACATACAAGAACCACGAGAGCGCCGTCAACATGGTCGAGTGGGACGCCGTCGTGGCCGACGAGTGCCACACCATCAAGAGCAGCACCGCCGAGATCACAAAGGCCATGGACAAGGTCAACGCCCTCTGCCGCATCGGCCTCACCGGCACCGCCATCCAGAACAACTACTCGGAGCTCTGGACCTTGCTCAACTGGACCAACCCGGGCCACTTCGGCACGGCCAGTGAGTGGGAATACACTATCGCTAAGCCCCTCAAGGTCGGCCAGTCGCACGATGCAACTCTGCTGCAGCTCAAGACGGCCCGCGTCACCGCTCGCAAGCTCGTCGAGAACCTGCTGCCCGACTTCTTCCTGCGCCGCATGAAATCCATCATCGCCCACCAGCTGCCCAAGAAGAGCGACCGCGTTGTCTTCTGTCCGCTGACAGACCTGCAGCGTGACGCCTACAAGCGCTTCACCGAAACGCCCGAGGTTGAGCTCCTCCGCACGCTTACGGACCCGTGCGACTGCGGATCGGACAAGAAAAAGGGCTGGTGCTGTAACAAGAAGCTGCCAAACGGCCATTCGTGGATGTCCATCGTCTTTCCCTCCGTCATTGTCCTTCAGAAGCTGGCCAACCACCTCACCATGCTCGTGCCGACAGAGGACGAGGACCCTCAAAAACACAAGCGCGAGCTCCACCGCCTTCAGGACTGCTGTCCCGACAACTGGGACTTTCTCTACAAGAACCGCCGCGCCATGGACGTGCTGGCGAACCCAGAGTTCTGCGGCAAGTGGAAGGTTCTGCGCAAGCTCCTCAAGTTCTGGCACGAAAACGGCGACAAGGTCCTCGTCTTCTCCCACAGCGTCCGTCTCCTGCGTATCCTGCAGACGCTCTTCCTCAAGACCTCGTACCATGTCACCTACCTCGACGGGTCCATGTCCTACCCGGACCGCCAAAAGGCCGTCGACAACTTCAACTCGAGCCCCTCCGAGTTTGTGTTCCTCATCTCTACCCGTGCCGGCGGTGTCGGCCTCAACATCACCGCCGCCAACAAGGTCGTCATCTTCGATCCCCACTGGAACCCAGCCCATGACCTGCAGGCCCAGGACCGCGCCTATCGCATGGGCCAGACGCGCGATGTCGACGTTTTCCGCCTCGTGTCCTCAGGAACGATTGAGGAGATTGTCTATGCGCGCCAGATTTACAAGCAGCAGCAGGCCAATATTGGGTACACGGCGTCCTCGGAGCGGCGTTACTTCAAAGGTGTACAGGAGGACGAGGGCCGCAAGGGCGAGATCTTCGGGCTTGAGAACCTCTTTACTTTCCGGGAGGACCAGCTTGTCATCCGTGACATCGTCAACAAGACCAACATTGCCGAAGCAAAAGCCGGCACGGGCATCGCCCTCGTGGGACTCGACATGGAGCAGGTCGCCGATGACGAGGAGCTGCGCTTCCTCAAGACCGAGGAGGGCGGGCTCTCGGACGATGGCGGCATGGCGCAGCTCGCCAAGCTCGTGACACGGAACGCGGATGATGGACATGGAAAGGGCAAAGCCAAGGCCGGAGAGCCATCCGACGCCCCGCGCCAGCCCAAGAGCGACGTCGTCCAAGCCATCCTCGCCTCCGCGGGCGTTGAGTACTCGCACGAAAACTCCGAGGTCATCGGGACCTCAAAAGTGGAGCAGAAGCTCTCCCGCGCCGCCGAGGCGGCCGACGCACCGGGCGAGACCTCGCTCTTTGATGATGATATCACGGCCGAGCACACGGCCGCGTGTGCGCAGGGCGCGCCACGGCGGCTGGTGTATAACCCGCCGGGGGAGGTCATGAGGCGCCAGTTCTGTAGCATGGCAAGGGAGTTTGGGTTTGCGGATGCGACCAGCTTTGCGCTTGTTGTGGAGAGCTGGACGCAGGAGCAGAGGAGGAGTTGTTTGGAGAGATTTTATAAGATTCGGGAGGGGAAGTTGTTGGCTGCTGAGACGGTGGAGGCGGAGATGGAGAGGCAGGCGAAGATGGAGGTGAAGGAGGTGAAGGGGGAGGTGAAGGCCGAGGTCAAGGGAGAGGTGAAGGTCGAGGTCAAGGGAGAGGTGAAGGCCGAGGTCAAGGTCTCCGCGACACCACCTGTGAAGGGGACGATCTACATCGACGACACGGAGAGCGACGATGAGTTGTGATGGGCTTGGTTTGATTTTCAGGGAAGATACCAGGCGTTCAGGAGTTGAATACCAAGATATTCAGACCACAACACTGCACCCCGATGCAGTGGTTGACTGCCGCTTCGAAGCGCAAAGGTAAGTTACTGAGGCAATAAAGATAATTGCTTCGAAGTGCAAAAACACCCACTCCCGGACCTCACAGGGATCCGGGAGGGTAGAAAACAGGCCAGCTGTGGAAGCACATTTTACTCTGAGGGGGTTCGAACCCGTAGCCCTCCCGCCGACACTGGCGCTGCGATAACAACGAATTGTAACCGCTTCACCGCCCGGCGGGAGGGCTGATGGAAGGAATGGGATGGGAGGGGGATATGAAGGAAGGTGCTGCTGGGGCAGGTGCAAGTGCGGCGGTGGGTGATGCCTTCGAAGACACCGGACTTCCGACCCTTCCTGCCAACTCACCCACTAGGTGTTTGCCTACCTGCCTAGTCAAGACAGAAACCTGAATGTTCAATTGTTGAATGCATGTCGGGTACCTGTAAGGCAGGTGCCTTGCACATGATGGACATCTACAGGCACCTTAGGGGGCAGGTACGAATCAGCCGGGGGAGGCAGGTACGAACCAACCTGAGGGAGGCAGGTACGACCCACCTCACGGAATACCTAGCCTTCCATATGGCGGCATCGACCGTCCGTTCACAAGGGCCTCAAACCCTCCCAAATACATCATCACTTGTTCCCCCAGTCAACTACACAACCTGCAACATACAATGCGACTCATCGCAACATCGTGACATCAAGACAAGCCGCGATATTCACTGTTCCCCGACACAAAAAGTACCACGCCCCTGAGCCAGGAGGTTTGTCTCCCTGAAGGTAACATGCCCCCATCACCGCAAAGTGGGTGTGCAGCTTGTTGACGGGCACAGGCACATCATGAGTTACCAGGAATCTCTCGACAAGGCGACGGGGGCGGCCCGGGTGCCGTCCGAGTTCCTGGATGAACAAGAGCAAGCAGCTCCGCCGTTGAACATCGACCAGTGCTGGCAGTGGCTCCAGGCGGTCGGTTTCCCGCAAGACGCAGCGACATGGCAGCGCATCAAGACCAAGTGGATTGCCTTCCTGTCGGCGACGAGCAAAGCCCCCGACAACGTGCTGGCTCCAGACAAGAAATTAATCCGGTTTGAGGACGACACTGACAGCGAACGCTTCCGCAACGACCGCGATTTCCGGCTGAAGGTGCGGTGGGCCGTCACGGGCTCGCCGGACTGCGACAACGGCTCGTCCCTGACCATCCTGGAAAGCAAGACAGAGCGCTGGCCGC